TTAGGTGAGCTCGATATTCAGCTTTCTCAGTAGAGGGCGCTAGAGCGGGGAGCTAGGAGGACGGCAGATACTTCTCTATTAAAATGGAGTGATGTCCGAGGTGAGGTAACAATGGAAAATGATGCACCTAATATGGACTATCTAACTCAGCCTAGCCTACCTTCACCGTGCTCAGAACACTTATATTAGCCTGCAGTAGGGAAAAACATCATCTAACACAGTCCCTATTTCATAATACAGTGTTCATTCAGCTCGTGAAGTTTATTGAATGCTATACTAGAGCTAAGAAGCAGACTAGTTGAATGATTATATTTTTGTACCATTATAAGGCTGGCAAATTGTAAACCGCACTGCTTTGTAAGTTGGAGTCTTTCTGCATTGTTTCTGTCTGTGCCTCTGTCTACCAGGTCAGTGTGGTGGCAGTGAGGACATCGGATGGAGTTTCCAGCTCCAACACATCCCATAGTGTGGGTTATCCTCAGCTACCCTGGTGGTAACCTTTTTCTGGGCTCCCTGACTACAAGCCTGAGCTCTGAAAGATTCTGCTTGTCTGAAACCCAGCGGGTTCCCAGAGTGGCCTGCTTTTCCGTGGGCCGTTCTTATCTGTGCCCCTAGACTGTGCTTGTCCGCACCATGGAGGCTTGCTTCCTGCTTGCCGGGGGATGCAACCCGGGTCTAGCTCATACAAACCATCTCCCTGCTGTGTGAGGCAAGTCCAGTTCTCTAAGGTCTGAACATCCTTAGGGAGGGTTATCTTTTCAGGTCTCTGACTTTCCCTGGGCAGCCCTTAGTTTCAGGATGCTCACATAATTTCCTGGGATGCCATGGCCACTTATTTCTTATTACTACGTCCTTACGCTACATTTCTCCCTTCAGGCCACCGTACGAGTCAGCAGCAACACTGATATTTTTGTAGTTGCACAGCTCCTTCCCATGTAGAGAGAGGAACTGATAAAATGAGGCACCAGTGAGCCAGTCTCGGGTTTTCCTCCCTCGCCTTCAGGGGTTTCCTTTCACTCTTCAAAGGAAACGGACACACTCTGCTTCAGTAGACGGTCAAGAGTGTAACTCACGTTTCTTAGACTTGAGAGAAAGCAAGAATCCACTCAGTCAGGACAATCTGATTCTTTTTTTTTTTTTTTAAAGATTTATTTATTTATTATGTATACAGTGTCCTGCCTGCATGTATGCCTGCAGACCAGAAGAGGGCACCAGATCTCATTACAGATGGTTGAGAGCCACCAAATGGCTGCTGGGAATTGAACTCAGGACCTCTGGAAGAGCAGCCAGTGCTCTTAACCTCTGAGCCATCTCTCCAGCCCCAACAATCTGATTCTTAAGAAAAGAAACAAGGCCGGGCGGTGGTGGCGCACGCCTTTAATCCCAGCACTCGGGAGGCAGAGCCAGGCGGATCTCTGTGAGTTCGAGGCCAGCCTGGTCTCCAAAGCGAGTTCCAGGAAAGGCGCAAAGCTACACAGAGAAACCCTGTCTCGAAAAACCAAAAAAAGAAAAAAAAAAAAAAGAAAAGAAACAATTGTGTTTCTTTACACGTAAAGCAGACCTGGAGACAGGGAATGGGGAGCAGGGAGCCCCGTCATCACTTGGGGATACATCAAAGCAGGGGAAGACAATAACAATATAAATAACATAGCTAAACTCAGCAAAGATGACGTTGCTTTGAACTTCTGTGATTTATTTTAAAATCTTTAAACCTGGGACTTCACAAGTTCCTGAGAGCCGTGTGACCCTACCACCAGAAACGGTACAAGCGGCCACAGCGTGGCTCTTACAAGGCGCACCAGGATAAGCTATGGTATGAAAATGGTCGTCATTTTATCTGATGCTTCACCTCAGAGTGAAGGTAGCTGTATGTCCTGTCCTCTGCCATTGATTTCTGTGTGACAAGGTCCTTGTGTACCCTGATTACTTTAGACCTGTCGGAAATGAAGAAGTGATTTCGGATAGTCCTTTTTCTCTCTAGTAGTACTGTGAATAAAGCCTATGTTTCTCCAAATAATAATAATATTTCCGAATTAGCGTGCTAAAGCTAAGTGGTATCAAGGAAAGGAAAACTAGAGCGCAATGGATTTGGAAACACAAGGAAAAAAAGCCCGTATTTCCCTAAGTATCCTGAAAAATAAAATCAGTAATTTAACGAAGGTGCTCGGATACTTCAGCATGGACAGGAGAGGGGTTCCTAAGGCCTCATTCCTAGCTGAAGAGCTATGAGTGTTGGTGGAGGCAGGGGGTGGGGGGGTAGGGGGGTGGGGGGGGGTAGGGGGTGGGGGGGGAGGCAAGTGATAGGCTGCCCCTCCCCCGGCACACACGGGCAGCATGAATTGGATTCCGTGGACTTTTTTGTTTTGAGAGGGGGGGTTGTGTTGAGAGGGTCCAGGGAGAGCTGGAGAGGGGGGACGTGGGAGAATAAGATTAAAACATGTAATTTACATACATGAAAATTTTGAATGATAAACTTGAAAACAGATCTGTTAAGTACGATTGCAGCAGAGGCATGGATGTCCCTTTTAAACTATGTGAGTTTCAGTCAGACAGTGACAAGAAAATGGGCAGAACCAGCCCCGCTTCTCCTCAACGGCAGCTACTGATCTGGCCCAAGCTGGCTACTCCTTGTTTGGAAACTAGCTGTACAAAGTGAAACCTAAAGTGTCCCTCTAGAGCAAAGGAAAACGTGTTTGGTGTCTTAGATAAGAGGCTCCTCCCTCATTCCTGGGGGTAAAGCAGCTACCACAAGGAACAGCACCAAGGGAAGCTGAGTCAGCCAGCCTGTGGCGACAGGCCCGGAACATCCCAGGTGACCTCCTGACTTGGTCACAGGACACAGTCTTTCCTGGAACTTCCAGGTTTCTGGTATGTTCTTAGGACACAATACTACCACACCCGGTGTGAGTGGGAAGTACGTCTCTGAAATCACAGTAAGTGAACACTGTGACGCATGCGTGTTCCGAAGCCCCGAGTGGTGGCGTGGCTGTGTTCTCACACCCTCCGCAGCGGACCCTGTTAGAAGCAGCTTCTACAGTAAATAAGATTTTTAATGGAAAAGAATGATCTGCAAAGGGATGAAAACAGGCGTTTAAACTGGACTTGGAAAGGGTAGTAGTTTCTTCAAAGCACGGGTCAAGTCCCACACCCATGAAGGCCACATCCCCTTAAGAATCAGATTTCCAAGTCCCACTGGGGACCTCACTCCCTTGTGACAGGGGAAGGATATCGATCGCAGTAACAGAACAGACGCAGTGCTGGGAGGGTCTGAAGCTGTGCCACACCATGCTTGTCACTCTGCTGTGAAGTTACATCTTCCATGTCTAAACCAGGAAAGTCATCAAGACAGAGTGTGGCTGGACCCAGTCAAATCCTGAAGTGTTTGTACTTGAACATGTGGAGGTCAGAGGACAACCTTAGGTGTTTCTCAGGTGCTGTACACCCTGTTGTGGAGCAGGGTCTCTCACGGGCCTGGAACTTAACCACATAAGCTAGGCTGGCTGGCCAGCGAGCCCCAGGGATGTGCTCCCCACCTCCCTAATGCTGGGGTTATGTGTGCACGCTCCCGTGTCCTGCTCTTTCTAGGGCTTGAGCTTCTGCCTGCAAGGCAAGCACGCTTTCTTGCATTTACTTACCTTGTGTGTGTGTGTGTGTGTGTGTGTGCGCGCGCGCCATAGCTTATGTGTAGAGCTCAGGGGACTATTTGCAGGAGTTGGTTCTCTATTTCCACTGTGCAGGTTCCAGGGTTAGTGCTCAAGGCTGTCAGACCTGCAGCAAGCACCTTGCATTGCGGAAACACCTCACCATCCCTGAAGAATCATGTTGAACTGTTGGGTCCTGGGAGCCCCAGAATTCCTCCAAGGTTTTTACTAAGAGCATCTGCAGACAAACGCTGAGTAAGACAATCACCCACAGGCACGGCTTTTGGGTTTCTGAGTGGTCCACACCTGACGAAATGTCAGTTGGACGTACTATATTAACTTCAAAATAACCAGGCAGTGTAGCGTGGCCGTTGAATACTCTCTGGCTTCTTGGGTCATGATGGCCCCCCGGGGTCAGTGCACCAGCACAGTATGTAAACGCCACAGAACGAAGCAACAGCTCTGACTGCTGGCAAGAAACTTTTGGGTGGCCTCTACATTAACAACAAGCAAAAACAGTTTGTGGTGTGTCGTCTGCTCAAAACACGAGGCTCTTTCCTTCCCCGGAGGCTGTGCACAGCCTGGCTCCTGGCCCAGAACCCCATGCTCATCCCGGTTTGTTTGAACAGACTTAGACCTCAGGCCACAGAACCCCTTACGTGGTCTCGCTGAAGTCATCTTTCAGGTTTTAATGGACTTGGGCCACAGGATCACTCACACTCTCTCACTGAAATACGACAGTAGAAATCTCATAATTGGCAGGTTTGCCATTTAGGAGAACCAACTTTTAAAAAATATTAAAATATCCTGATTGTGTAGCTTACTTAAGCAACACGATTAGCCCACAGCCTGCATGGGATGTAGCATGGACTCAGTGTTGAACTGGTGTAGACTCTGGACTTACTTCTTACAGGTTTGAGAACTGCGGTCTCCGTCAATAAACTGGGGAAGACGACATGTAGCCCGAGGGGTCGTCCCTGAGCCGCACACAGCCATCTTACCTTAGGGAAAGTGTTGTTTGGTTCAGGAGAAATGTGGTAAGACCTGAGCATCGTGGAATCTGGGACCTCACCCAGGTAACACAAGTGTGCAATGGCCACTCGTCTTGAGCACCAGACAGAGGCTGGCGACACGGCTCGGGGAGTAAACAGTGCTCATTACCCAAGTCTGACGACCCAAGTTCGAGCCTTAGAGCCCCCACACAGCTGTAGTCTAACTTCTACACGAATACCGTGGCACTCACATCCACCCACACAGCATACACACGCAAGTGTGTTTACACGCAAATGTATACACACAATAGGTTCTTTAAAAATCAGACAAGAACAGAAGGAAAAAAAACTCACAAAAACCTCCATATTCAATTTGACTATCTTTGGAATTCTTCATTAAGGTCTTCACAAAATACAAAGCTCACACGTAATTGTCTACATCCACCACAAATAGAATCAAGTAAGTGGTTAGCACACAAACATAATGATCTCTTTCATTTTTAAAAATATAAATAACAAAAATGTTCAAGGTTTTACAGTTTTCTTCATGTGTGTGTCTCTTTAAGGCTTTGTGTCTCAGACTGGTATTGCACCCCGTCATCAGGGTACGCTGCCCACCAGCAAGGAAGGCCACTGTGGATACATTCCTGAGGGTGGCACACACTGGTCTCTGCTGCTTCAGCCTGGGAAAAGCTCCACGACCAAACCCCCTCCCATCAGCTCGGTGTCTTTAACTTTCCTTCTACTGCACAGTAAATACAGGTGGGAAGGCCCAGCAGCACGCGAGCTCACAAGACCAACCGTGAAAGGCAAGAAAGGAAAGACGGGCGTCTTCCTGGGTGCAATCTCTTCCTTTTACCCCGGAAGCCCCCCAGAAACCCCCAGTCCAGACTGCAGTTGTAGTGAAACATCTTTCAGATTAAATAGTGTTGGGAGTGGCATCTTTTGGTTGGGTCTTTCAGGAGAGGTTAAAGTGGAGAGGTCAACGCTGGGAAAATGCCACCGAGTCCAGAGCCCCCCCCAGGAGTCACATGGCTGGTGAGGGCTGGGGGCAGGGAGATGGCCCCTGCCTTGGGCCTGAAGTCCGAGGGCAGGGACTCCAGCAGACACTTGACCTGCTCCTGGCCCAATTTTATCTTGTCATCCAGCTTCCGCTGCTCGATGAGGAGGGTGGACTTCATTTTCACGAAGTGCTGGTAGTCCTGGAGCTGCTTGGCCGACAGGTAATTGGCCAGGATGGCCAGCACCACGCGCTCCCTCCGGTCCAGGTTCTCCTTGAGCTCCCGCGCATCCTCGTGCTGGCCGGCCAGGATCTTCCTCTTCTCGTTCAGAGAGCTCTGCCAGGGGAAAGCGGACAGGGCGGTCAGCCGAGAGCATGGGGAGCTGCTGCAGGCCTCCCTCTCTACTCAGTAGTGCCAAGGGTGGGCTTTTCAAGTTTACGGTCCTTATGCTGAACGCTCTGTGGTAACAACCTGACCCTTTTAGGTCTACACTTAGTCAATTCTCCACTTTTCTTGAGTACTATGTCCCCCTGGGGACACCAGAAAGATTCTCAGCTACCTCTCCTTGTACTGAATTCAAAACTCTGCAGGGGACTGGAGAGATGGTGTGGTGGTTCAGAGCACTGACTGCTCTTCCAGAGGACCTGGGTTCGATACCCAGCACCCACAGGGCGGTAACAGGGCATTCCTATGCTCTTAAACAGGCAAAACACCCATTAGTATAAAATAAAAATAAGCAAGTTAAAAATCTTTTTTTTTTTTTTTTTTTTTTTTTTTTTTTTTTTTTTTTTTTTTAAAATTTCTTTTTTTTTTTTTTTTTTTTTTTTTTTTTTTTTTTTTTTTAAGATTTATTTATTTATTATGTATACAGTGTTCTGCCTGCACATATCCCTGCAGGCCAGAAGAGGGCACCAGATCTCATTACAGATGGTTGTAAGCCACCATGTGGTTGCTGGGAATTGAACTCAGGACCTTTGGAAGAACAAGCAGTGCTCTTAACCTCTGAGCCATCTCTCCAGCCCGCAAGTTAAAAATCTTATACCTCTGCAGGAAGGGCCCTGAAATCTGTGTTTTAACAGGACCTCTTCTCAATTCTTTAAAAAACAAACAACTATACAAGTTTTGAGGACCCCCCCCATTGTAATAATGGGACTACATTCCCATCTCTGAAGAGTCAATCCCCACCACCCCAGGCTGCTTCTTGGGCCTCTAATCATGAACTAAAGTCTGTCCACCAAGGATGCCCACACATACCCAATGGTGAGCAGCCTTGTCTCTTCAGGGCTAACTGACTTCCCAGATGCTTCACATCCTCAGTACAAGTACCTTACTTAGGATTAGTGAAGGCTCATGTGACCCTGGCCCACGTTTCCTTACTAGCTTGTTAGAGCTTCTTGAGACAGGGTCTCACTATGGATCCCTGGCTGGCCTGGAACTTGCCATGTAGACCAGGCTGGACTTAACTCAGCCTCTCCAAGGGATTAAAGGTGTGCACCATCAACACCATGCCCAGCTTGTAAGATTTCTATAAAAATGCCTAGGAACAGTATAAATTTAAAAGGTGGATTTGGGGCTACACAACACAGTGAAATCCTGTCTTAAAAAAAACCAACCAAACAAAAAAAGACCCCTCATTTTCACAGGTTCTTTCTACTAATCAGACCTCACCAGTACAGTCGGGAGGCCCTGAAGTAAACAAGCCATAGCCTTCTCCCCTGTGTCTCAGATAAAAACCTGGAGACTCCTCACTTTATGGCCATTTCTCCCCTCCCCCACTACCCGCCACGCATATGAAGATGCTGGACTTTGGTATTTACCGGGTTGCTTTTTCTCGTTTTTCTATTGATACTTTTAGTTTCTTAAAGAGGCCAGCCACTAACGCAGCATGGTAGGGATTCAGGACACTACATATGAAGCATGAAACCCGGTGTCTGTCACAAGAGCACTGTCCTTCCAGGTAGAGTACAGTGAGTCATGCCAGGAGCGTACCCACCGCCAGCCTGGGCCCTTCACTCAGGTTCCCTGGAGCTCATTCCTGCCCCCTCATCCCAACAGTTCTGTGGCCTTCCTCAGCGGTCCATCTGACATCATGTCTGTCCTTCTCTTTCTTAAATGTCTACCATCATTTTTATCTCCTTGAGGAAGCTCGGAGGGAAGAGAAAAACCCTGCACATCTAGTTCCCTAAGTGTCGGCCCTGCGTCTTGCACGAAGGTGCTCTCTCCGCTCCACAGTGATTGCCATCTGTGCGAAGGGACCGTGTCCCTTCTGCACATTGCCTCCTGTTTCCCCACGTCATGACGCATACAGTTCTGCTCCTCTCTATGGGCACAGGCTCGGAGGACAACCCGCGGGGCTACATACCCTTTCTTCTTTACTTGCGTCTTCACCAAGGCCACTGAGGACGTTCTCCACCCGGGCGAGGCGGCCAGAGAGTGAGAGCAGCAGGTTGACCACCTTGTCCAAGTCCCCTATGAACATCTTGTACTTGTCAAACTCATTGGGTTTGCAGAGCTCACTGATGAGGGCCTCCACCTCTTCTCCCAGGGCGTTGTTCAGCTGGATGTCCATGAGCAGGCTCCCCTTCGCTTCCTGGAGGGTCTCGAGCTTGTGGGTGAGGCTTCCGATGAGCTCAGCCTGGAACAACAGCAGAGCCACACAGCAAAGATGAGCCAGCGGCCAGCCAGGTAAGGGGGGTCGACACCTCCGAGCCCCACCCTGCCTCCAAGGCTCAGCTAAAAGCCCCTCTGCTCTCTGAGGACCAATGACTCACTGTCAACGTTTTTCCAGCCTTTCCCTAATGTCCGGTTACTGGCCAACACCTGATTACACATTGCCTCCTGTTTCCCCACATCATGACGCATACAGTTCTGCGTTTCCCACTGGTGTGTTAACTTCTCATTCAAAGTCCTTTTGTGACATGTTCTTTTTTTTTTTTTTGGCTTTTCGAGACAGGGTTTCTCTGTGTAGTTTTGGTGCCTGTCCTGGAACTTACTCTGTAGCCCAGGCTGGCCTTGAACTCACAGAGATCCACCTGCCTCTGCCTCCCGAGTGCTGGGATTAAAGGCGTGCGCCACCACTGGTCAGCTTGTGACATGTTCTTACTGGGTACAATGCCATGAGTTAGAAGGCAGGGGCAGGGTAAACAGGAGTGAAGGGCCTGCCTTGTCCACGGTCTGAGAGCCGAGCAGTAAGTAGCTGACCTGTCACAGTAACTGCTGTGTGCTCCATGCCGTACAGACCAGTCTCCTCATGCTTCATAGATACCGTTCTACCACGTATAACAGGTCAGGGTGACGCTTGGTGATGTATCCACTGAGGGGCAGTTCTCACATAATCATTACCAACATTGACGCCAGAACTTTATCAGAAAGTCAGGTTTTGTTTTTCAACTAAATTTGGATTAGTTACCATGGCTGTGGAACTTAAACCCCTAATTACAATTGTTTATACTTATGAGGTTACACAAACCTCTCCTCTGTGTGTATTTTGTTGTTAATCACAACCTCTGGGGGTCTTGCTGTGTATCCCAGGTCTGCTTCCAATGTACTGTGTAGACAGTACTGTGGGAACTTGTGGCAATTCTCCTGCCTTTGCCTGTTGAGTGCTGGGATTATTGGGCATCAACACCATGCCCAGCCTTGGAACACAAAGGACTGGAGATGCGGGAAGGCAATGAAACTGATGTTTTGCTCTGAGCCCCAGTCATGGTTAGGAACATGCTCACAGTGCCCTAGGGAAATGCCCAACCTGCCACCCGGAGCCAGAACCTGGAGCCAGAACCTCACAGCTTTGTGTCAGCGGGTTCACACATCCTTGAAATGCTCACGCTCTGGCTGGAACAGTGACATCCTGTTGTCCTTTCAACTTTCCTAATCCTCACGGCTGTGGGCCGCTTAAAGACACCTGTTGTCTTTTCAGTGGAAAGCCGTGCAGCGTCAGCATTTGACTCCTCCACTGAAGACTGGGCCCAGGAAACAGAGTGGGAGGGAATATTACTTAAGGTTAATTATTTTCTCTACTGCCACACCCCAAAGCACCCTTCGCTGGCAGCCATGATGGTGTGAGACAGAGCGGCGGACGTAACTCCAGAATCGCCTGCTAGGGAGTGCTGAGCTTGGGTAACTTCCTTCCTGTGAGGAGAGCTCCGGACAAGAGCAGACACTGTCAGGCGGTCCAGGGCTTCCCCGCCAGAGCATGGCCAACAGCTAGGAGACGCCAGCCCTGGTGTTTTTAAGCCTGGACAGTTTTTAAGCTTGCCAGGCGCTCTATTATGAGCTGATACTATATTCAGCCAGGCATGCTCAGTAAACTCCTGTAATCCCAGCACTTGGGAGGAAGGAGCCGAGGCCAGCTGCAAGTTCAAGGCCTGGTCTACACAGTGAGTTCCAGGGGCATTATGGCTACACAGCAAGACCTTCTCTCAAAACACCCAGGGTGGTCAAGATGGCCCAGCAGGTGGGGTGCTTGCCACCAAGCCCGACTAACACCCTGATCTCCCACAGCTGCAGGAGAGAACAGAGTCGCCCCGGCTGTCAGCTGACTCCAAATGTATGTGCTGTTGAGCACACATACATTCTACACAAATGTATAATAAGTACTATAGTGTTTTTAAAATAGAAAACACAGGGCCAGAGAGCCAGCTTATCAGGTCAAGGGCTGTGCCATGCAGGGTTAGCAACCCGAATCCCTGGCGCCTACATAAGCGTGGGGGGGGGAAGGACCCCCACAAAGCTGCTCTAATGGCCACCTGCATCCACGGCACATGAGCCTCAGACACACACCAGGCATGTGCACGCTGTAACTAAAAACAGAAAACTGGAGTTCATCTAAAATGATCTGCTCTACAGAAGAAAGCTTTCTGCTTGCCCAGATTTTTGGCATCTGTTTTAAACTCCTGTCCTAAAATTTCTAGAAAAACGCTTAAACACAACTGTAGAAAAAGAGGATTAACAGCCTCGGTTTTCATTGTTTCTCTAAATGTGACTTCTTTTGGATCTAACATTTTATGACATTATTATCTATCAATAAAGATTTAATTGATGTTTGCCCCCACCCCGCCCCCCCCATTAAAAAAAAAAAACAACCCTCATCCTGGTATTTTAAGAGTCAAGTGTGAAAATATCACTTTGCTCATGAGCAAACCCCGGCACAAATGGGCACGTCTTTCTTCCACGTCTGGTAGTAGTGGAGGTGGGGGGACACATTCTGCTAGTCCTGGCCTCAGCTTGCTGGCTCTCAGACCCTAAGCAGCAGGCAGGCTCCATGCACAGGTACTCACATGGGGGTCAGGGGTCAAGGGTTCTGCTGGGTCTTTCCGTCCAGACCCAGCCCTGGCTGTCAAAGGCATGGATGCTGGGGAGCGCCACAGTGGACACCACCAAGCCTGTGAACACGCGCTGCTTCACGGTAAGGCAGGTACCTCAGTTCCTCCTGCCTGGCTCTTACATAGGTGGATTTTTTTTTCTTAATTCAAGTCTTTGTTACGGAGATTGGGTTTGCGAATGCAGTGAGGGGGCCTGAGTAACTGCCGTGTCAAAGCCGGCTGGGCTAAAGCCATTTCTTCTTTAAAACAACAAAGAGCAGACTTCAATAGAACTCACTTAGGGCAGGAAAGGGAGGAGGGAAGGATTTGTTCAAACTGCTTGTACATATGTGCACCGTGTGTGTGTGTGTGTGTGTGTGTGTGTGTGTGTGTGTGCAGATGCCCTAGAGCCAGTTACAGGTGGCTGTGAGCCACGCCATGCCGGTTCAGGGAACTGAACCTAGGTCCCAGGTCCTCTGCAAGAGCAAGTGCTTTTAACCCTCAGCCATCCCTTCAGCCGGAGAGAGAGACTGTTGGTAACATACCAGCCTCCCGTGGGAGCTACTTCATTTGTAAACCTCTGACATTTACCCACTTGGCTTCTCATCTGACAAACTGTTAACTCAGGCTGTGTGAGAAGCTATTTATATGGGTCCTTTTCTAAACATAGTCAACACATCCTCCCTCCCATCTCGCCATCTGCACGAAACTTCTTGCTGGGCCTTTCTCTCTCCCTCGTCACCGGATGAACGCATACTGAGTCAGACGGAGACCCACTCCTGCCACGATCACTGCCAGGCAGTCACCTGACCCGTGCCATCAGCCACCCACACCACCTGCCTGAAGCCTGCACTCATGTCTTCATTACTGAGCGCATGCTCTGGGCCAGGCAGAACCAGCATCTTCCTACTCAGCCACCACTCTGACAGCTCCACCACACAGTCTCTCCTATGACCCTCCCCGATTCACTGGTCAGCCCAGGGAGGTGGACGGAGGGTGCGGAGCACGCCCAAGCCCATTTCACTGCTAAGCCCAGGGAGGTGGACGGAGGGTGCGGAGCACGCCCAAGCCCATACACTAAGTGGCAGAGCCAGGCTGGAACTCAGGTTGTCTGGCTCCAGGGTGCAGACCTCAATTACTGCTTCCAAATAGCTCACAGGGATGTTGTGGGGCTCAAATGAAATAAAGCTCGTGTGAGCACGCTGGAAAACTGCTCAGACACATCTTGTTTTCTGTGCTGTCACAGGTCAGGATAGTCTGGAGAAAGCAGACGCCTGGAGGGCCACACCCAGCTTCCCCGTGTGGCAGCACCGCTTGCCTCCTGCCTGGAGGGTTTGTGCCCACAGCATTCCCCCAAAACACCATTACAAAACAGCATGCTTCTGTTGGCTGTTCTTATCTCAAGAAAAGCTCAGCACCACTGGCTGTGGGGCTGGGGACAGGTGGAGTCCAGGCTTCTTCCTTTGGTTGTAAATGTGAGATCCAGGGCACTGCGTGGTACTGCTGGCTTTGCCCAGCTTTTGAAAGCTGGGCAGTTTCGGACTTAGTAAGGAGGCCAAACCTCCACCCCACAGTGTGTGACCTGCAGGGGTCACGGGGCCTGATGGCAATGTCACACACCCTCCAGCACATCCTGTGCCAAGAATCCTTTCCCATTTCTCCTCCAGGAGGCTGGTGACTGGAATGTCACCATATCTATTTGAGATGATCCCTGGTGCCAGTTAAGGTCTGATAAGATGGAGGAACAGTAATGAATCTTCAAGGTCAACTGTCTTCCCAGATGCTGTCTTAGCTGTCCCTGTCAGTACGGCAGCCTGGAGCTGGGGGGGTCATCCTTAGCTGTCCCTGTCAGTACAGCAGCCTGGAGCTGGGGGGGGGTCATCCTTAGCTGTCCCTGTCAGTACGGCAGCCTGGAGCTGGGGGGTCATCCTTAGCTGTCCCTGTCAGTACAGCAGCCTGGAGCTGGGGGTCATCCTTAGCTGTCCCTGTCAGTACAGCAGCCTGGAGCTGGGGGGGGGGGGTCATCCTTAGCTGTCCCTGTCAGTACGGCAGCCTGGAGCTGGGGGGGGGGGTCATCCTTAGCTGTCCCTGTCAGTACGGCAGCCTGGAGCTGGGGGGGTCATCCTTAGCTGTCCCTGTCAGTACAGCAGCCTGGAGCTGGGGGGGGGGGGGTCGTCCTTAGCTGTCCCTGTCAGTACAGCAGCCTGGAGCTGGGGGGGGTCATCCTTAGCTGTCCCTGTCAGTACGGCAGCCTGGAGCTGGGGGGGGGGGGGTCATCCTTAGCTGTCCCTGTCAGTACGGCAGCCTGGAGCTGGGGGGGGTCATCCTTAGCTGTCCCTGTCAGTACGGCAGCCTGGAGCTGGGGGGGGGGGTCATCCTTAGCTGTCCCTGTCAGTACGGCAGCCTGGAGCTGGGGGTCACCCTGACCACTCTTTCTCTTCCACCCTCCACACTAACCCACACCAGTTCCTGCCTGTTTCCTTTCCACAACAACCACCCTCTTTCAAAAGCCTTTAAACGGCTCCCTGGATGGCGTGTGCCAGGGCTGCACCAGCTTCCGTGACTGCTCTCCCCCGCCCTGCTCCCGAGGGACTTTTCAGAAATGCCAATCTGTCCTGCCTTCTGCCAAGCCCCAGAGGGTAACCTCTGGTGTGAGTGAAGACGTCATAACTAGGCCACCGCAGCCCCCCGCTTCTGCATGTTGTCATTAAACCCCGAGGCTCAGGAGGGCATTCCGAGCGCTGGCCCTGGCAGCAGACTGAGGTGCACACCAGCAACCCACATGGGTGAGCGTCCTGCTTCTCACACCTTGAGAGCCTCAGGGTAAACTGAGGAAAGCTTGTCTGTAGAGCCTGGGGGGCGGGGCAGGGCAGGGCTTGGGTGAACTGATGTGGGGAATCTGTGCTTTCTCTCCCAGCTGTCTCCAGTGCAGCTCCACTCAGGGAGGCCCACCACGTAGCGGGGGCAAGGCACCCCAGAACCCTTCCTGGGAGCTGGAGGAAGCAACCCCGGGTCTAGAGTGTGAGGGGATCCCACCACATTCCCCTTCTCCTTAAAGAACTGTATAGCTGCATAGAGTGCTGTGAGTGAGAACCTGTCTTTCCAGCCAGAGGACTACAAATAGGGGTCCCTGGGAGCCAAAGACTGTGGGAAACCCCTAGAGAGGAGGGAGCGGGACCGGAAGGTGCTCAGAATGCTGCACGGACTCACGGAGCCTCTGGGCTCACCTTTAGGATGCACATGTCGGGAGAAACAAAGTCAGAGCAAGGCTCTGAGAACTGTACCGCGCCAGCAATGCTCTAAGTCCCAAATTAGAGCCCGAGGGCACAGTGGTCACAGAACGTCCCAAGGGCTCCGAAAATGGACTGGGTGCTGAACTACTGTCCAGAGTGAGACAGAACTTACATCCTGGGCCTACAGTATTGAGGCCTGCCTCAGACACCAACACTCCATAGAGGCTTCTAACAGGACCCAGGGCTCACCACACAGAGCACAGCACACAGCTACTCAGGATAGAAGAACCGGAAAAGGCAACTCACAGATGCTAGACTCGTGATTCTGACATTAGGATTATCAGTGTCTTTAAAATGTTGTTTTTTGTTTGTTTTTTAAATAAGCATTCTTCCTAAGAGTAAACACTCTTGAATGGGAAGATGGAAACAACAAAAACTAAAAATGGAAAATTTAGAACCGAATATGATATCTAAAACAAACAAAAGTCGGGCGGAGGTGGTGGCGGCGCACGTCTTCAATCCCAGCACTCGGGAGGCAGAGGTAGGCAGATCTCTGTGAGTTTAAGGCCAGCCTGGTCTACAGAGTTCGTTCCAGGACAGATAGAGAAATTCTGTCTCAAAAAACAAAAAAATCTCCAAAAATGAAACAAAACAAAAACCCCAAAAAACACAAACAAAGAACCCCAACCAAGCAAACACAAAGCCACTGGCAGAGTCCAGACAGGAAAGTGAGCCTGAGGTCAGACCACCAGAGACTGTCCAACCTGAAGAATGGAGGCAAAAGGACAGAGCTTCGGGGACTTGTGGAGCCTATGAAAAGCTAATATTGTATCACTGGGCTCCAAGGAGAATATTAAATATGCATAAAATAATTAAAATTAATGCATAAGCTATTTAAAGAAACAGTGGTTGAAGATACCACAGACTCGAAGCTCAGCACACACACCACAGCCGTGGGGTGAAGGGAACAAGCAGTCGCGATGGAGGAGGTCACATATAAACCGGCAGCTGCCTATCGGCAGTAACAAAGAATGCAACACCACGTCCACGGGATGAGAGACTCAAGAATGGTCAGCTGGAATTCTGTTCGCAGTGAAAACATCCTTCAGGAATGACCATGTCCTGGAGACACACAGACTACATCACTGTAGATCTATTCTGAAGGAAATGCTAAAGGAATCTTCCTCGGGAGGGAAAAGGGGGAGGTAGGAAACAAGGCCCGAGGGGAACCTGGAACTCCAGACGTGAAGAGCAACAGAATGGGAATCGAATCGGAGAGCCGAGGAGCCACGGCTGCCTCTCGGACGTCAGCAGCAGCCACTCTCCAGAGCAATGGGGCAAAGTAGTTTCAAATGCTCCGGTCACTCATTTAAAATGGGCCCAGATAGGTATTGGTGGAATTCTGTGTAGAGAAAGATTAGGGAAGCCTAATCACAAAACCGCAAAGCCCACACATGGACCGTAACTGAGTAGTGCTAGTTTACTTCCTGAGAGGATGAGTTAGTCCTATAAAGTAATAAAAAAGCAGTTAAAACATGAAATGAGGGCTGGAGAGAGGGCTCAGCAGTTAAGAGCACTTGCTGCTCTCCCGGAGGATCCGGGTTCCATGTCTAGCACACACATGGAGTTCCAGAGGATCTGATACTCTCTTCTGACCTCCACAGGCACCAGGCATGTATGTGGTGGACATACATACACAACATACTGCTGTGGGATGTTCTGTATGGCAAATGTGTTGCTAATTAGTCAATAAATAAAACACTGATTGGCCATTGGCTAGGCAGGAAGTGTAGGCGGGACAAGGAGGAGAATAAAGCTGGGAAGTGGAAGGCTGAGTCAGAGAGACACTGCCAGCTGCCACGATGAGAAATAGCATGTGAAGATGCCGGTAAGCCATGAGCCACGTGGCAAGGTATAGATTAATAGAAATGGGTTAATTTAAGCTGTAAGAACAGTTAGCAAGAAGCCTGCCACGGCCATACAGTTTGTAACCAATATAAGTCTCTGTGTTTACTTGGTCGGGTTTGAACAGCTGTGGGACTGGCGGGTGAGAGAGATTTGTCCTGACTGTGGGCCAGGCAGGAAAACTCTACCTACAACATACATACAGGCAAAACACCAAACACACAAGACAAATAATGAAATCTTTAACAACCGGAGATGAGAAGGAATGCTGTGTACTCGACTCCTTGCTACTGAAATGCAGAGATGTCCATGTGCAGGACAAGAGGACAAAGGGAAACACTCAGTTGATGACGTCCCAACGACACAGTACATGGATGGCGGTAGCATACAAACGGCTCCTTCTCTGTGGTGGAGCAAAGCACCCTGACCCACAAAATGGGCACAGCCCGCAGGGATCTGAAGGAGAAGCCTCTGGTTGGGAGCAACGTGGTGTACTGGCTGTTGCAGCCCACAGCCCTGAACTCCCAATGCTGCAGCAGGAAGAGGGAAAATCTGAGGGGTGCCTCTCAAATCTCTCTGTCTCTGGGGGTGGTGGTGTCTGGGCGCTGTGGCTTTACCCAGCACATGAGGAGGAGGGCCTGGGGCATGTTCTGTACAGGGCAGAATCACGCATGCAGGCTCCTCTTGGCATCCACAGCACCAGAGCATACATCCTATGCTCACTGACGCAAGCCGCACATGTCCTTTGCAGAAGGCCTTCCTGGGGTCTAGGGAGGGCTGGGGGCAAAGTGGAAGGGCGTTCTGCCCTGCAGACGTGGTATGTGGGGCGGCTGTGATAACAGCAGGGTCATTTAAAAATGTCTGACATTTAAAATTCCTGTAGGAGTACCAAATGCTAACAATGACACTTCAATCCTGCGCGAAAGGTCTCTGAGGTACCGCAAAGAGCTGGGGGTGGGGGGTATGAAGGTCAGTCTTACCTTTCCTCCAAGTGTCTGGACAGCTGGCTTCTCTCCCTAAGCAAAAATGTAAGACCTCTGGTTTTCTCTTGACATACCCTACAACCAGCGGCCGAGAACAGCGCCAGAGTCCCTGTGCTGAGGTCCAGCTCCGTCTGTGAGACCTTTAATAACTCAACCTCCCTAAGCTTGCTTTCATCGTTTGCAAAAGGAGAATGACAGTCACTTACCTGCCCCGTCCATTCCCAGGAGCCTCTGGGAGCTCTCAAGTGCCCAGGATGGGACAGTTTTCCCCCTCCCCACCTTTGGGGAAGAGCAGACCAAGTCCCACTCTACCTTCTTCTCATTGACGTCCTCCTGCTCCTCCTCCTCCTCCTCCTCGGGCACTTCCTCGGGCATGTCCTTGATTTTGTTCAGCAGCTCTGCCTTGGCAGCAGACACACTGTAGTAGGCCGGGCAGTTGACCAGCACGCCCGTGGCTTCCTTGTCGTCACCCCTGAAACACACAGCACGAGGTCAGAGCAGCGTTCCCTCATTCATTCTGTCCTTCAGAAATGGGCAACAACTGCCACTTAAGTTTTCCTCAGAAATGACGAATGGGCAAATTGTTTACTGATGAGTGATTATTATGTGTGGGGGCCCCTAAAATGAGATAAACCCAGGATGGAAAACTCCCAAAGGCGGTGTGGAGATGGGAGTGGGAATCAGGCTATGAGTCATTCAGCTTCTATTCACGATTCTTCTTTGGTGATAAAGATTCTGACTCCTTATTTCACAGAAAGACAGTGTGGATGGATGTGAAGCAGGCCCGAGGTGCCGAACAACCCCAGACTACTGGTCATTCCTTATCCCTCGCTCCTCCAGAATCTTTCTGATGCTTGAATACACACATTTTCATCTTAAGCAAGCCTGATACCACGCCCTATCACACGCCTGTGAAATCTGGAGCTTGCTGCTTTGTTAACAGTGAACTAATATAAAACCTAGTCATCAGTGGGGTATGGCGGCGCTTGTCTGTAATCTCAGTACTTGAGAGGAAGAGGCAGGAGGATCAAGACTTTGAAACCAGCTAAGGTTACTGTACTTCAAAAAAGGAAGAAGAAAAAAAAGGAGGCGGAGGGAGAGAGAAATTGAAGTAAACGAGGAAAGCCTACCTCCTGACCACACAGTGGGGTGGGGTGGCGGGCTCAAGGCTGTCCAAACAAACTGGGAACCGAGAAACATGGCTTTGCCTCATGCTCTTTGTTTTACCATGGTTTGCTTCACTGTTTTGAGGAGTCGGGGGTGGAACCGAGGTCCTTGTGCATGCTCAGCAAGCGTTTTACTGCTGAACGACCACCTCAGCTCAGACTGGAGTTCAGACACCACTGATGAATCAATGACTCGTGGAAGAAGTAAGTTAGGTTCTCTTGAAGAGGAACTTTAACTCTGACCCTGGGATTTTACTCAAGAATAAAGAACCACACACACAAACATTTTACCCATTTCCTCTAAGAAGTGTGTCTACATGGAAGCCAGTTGATTAGGAAACTGGAAAAGGCCTTCAGTGAGGTGTTTATTGCAGCTTCTAACAGGGTCCCTCCCTCCGGTGTTCCCGCCCCACAGGCCCAGGAATCTGACTGGCCCTCACCACAGGACTTGGCTTACTTTCACCAGAAGGTGGCGCACATCGTCTTTCTGAGGGGTTCAGAACGCTGGCTCAGTGCAGCGGGACCACTGCGTCACCAAATTCACCAGCGAACGAACATCAACTCTCAAAGACAATGCTGGTCTAAGGACACACTCTGACATCTCTGTGCGGCAAGTGGCCAGATAAGAGCAGGACCGTTTACACACACACAGCATGGTGAGCACGTGAGATAAGAGCAGGACCGTTTACACACACACACAGCATGGTGAGCACGTGAGGTAAGAGCAGGACCGTTTACACACACAGCATTGGTGAGCACATGGCACACCCATCCTGGAGACCTTGTGGTGCCCAGCGGGCTGCCCTGCCCATGGCAGGTATCCAGTGATGCTTCCTACAGTGTGACTCTGGAGAGGTGACCGCACCTAAGGTGGCCTCGACTCCCCAGATCTGAGACTGTGGAGACAGACGAGGTGACCGCGAGGCCCCGCGTTGGAAGAGCTCTGCCCACAGACTGCAAATGCTATGCACACAGCTCTTTTCTCCCTCCCACCCACTAAAAGACGGTGTTCCTGTTCAGTCCTCCTGATTCAGCTGGAATCAGCTGCAAGTTTCTAAACTGCAAAGCCGTATTTGGGTGAAATGTTTTGTTTGTATTTCGTCTGGAAGCGACTCACTGCTGAGCCGCAGTCTGTCAAGACGCACAGTTTTCATTGAAAATTAAAAAGGAAATAAAGCCCACTCTAATCTTTCTCCTAATAGCCTTTAACGAAATCAAGTATGTTAAGAAGATCTCAGAAGAGCTCAAGAAATCCAGGCAATGGGAAACACAACTGCTCACAGTCCTCCTGCTGCGGCTGGTGCTGGAGCAGTGTCGCAGGGCCAGCAGAGGGCTTGGGAGCCTCCAGAGCAGAGGCCAAGGGGCCCTGCACATCCAGGAGCATTCCCACTGAGACGTCCGTTTTTAGGATGTGAGCAAATGCTCACCTTAATGCCTCAAAGTGAATGTCCTATATACATCTATTTCTTTAGGCCTCTCTCTGTCTCTCTCTGTCTCTCTCTGTCTCTCTCTGTCTCTCTCTCTCTCTCTCCAGGGTTTCTCCGTGTAGTCCTAGCTGGTCTGGAACTCACTCTGCAGACCAGGCTGGCCTCAAACTCACAGAGACCCACCTGCCTTCTGCCTCCCTAGTGCAGGGATTAAAGGTGTGCGCCATCACCCCGGCTAGGCCCTTTTCCATAAAGACTCGTGGAGGCCTCAGATAGGCCCACATCTCCTTGCTCCCTTCTTAGCACTGAGCCTAGGGGAGGTCCTGAAAGCGTAACTCTGGTGACAGGACAGGCAAGCACGTGTCTGCTGAGTTAGGGACACTGTATAATTGCTAAGACAGCAGGAAACCAGGGTTCAAATCCAAGCGCTTCCACTCACACTCTAGGGCCTTGGTGGATGAAGACATTACTACTCCTCTGTGTTTCAGAGGTAGCTGGCGACCCTCAGGTGCCTGTGACGATGGGAGGCAGTAGTGTTTACATGAAGATGCATGGCACGCGGGAAGTGAGCAGAGGGCGTTCACGACAGTCACCGCTACTGCTCATTTCTGCTGCTGGGCATTTGTCCTCAGTCACTCCCCTAAGCTCAGATGGAACGGCACTCTGGGTCAGTCATCTGGGGCAGCAGGAACACATCACTTAAGTACTCCAAAGCCTTGACCCCACGGAAGGAGCCTAGTTGTAAGGCTCTTTGGGGCGCACTACAGGGGACTTACCTCTTGGCTTCACACCCTGTGTGTCTGACGGCTGTTTCTAGGGCCTTCCTCTTGGTGACGCTCTCCGTCAGCACACTAGCATCTCTGGGGAACAAACCCTCCATCAGGTCCATCGTTGTCTTCATTCTGGAGTCCGGATCCAAGATGTCTGCCAGAGACTTGTCTTGGTGGACAATTTCCTTGGCAAGAGCCTCTGTCCGGATGTCTTCCGAGGTCTTCTGGGGCTCAGCCTGGATTTTCTTTCCCGGATCCTGAGTTCTCCCGACAGGCTCATGGACGAGGCTTTGGGTCTGGCTGGGGGAGGGCCGCTGGCCAAGAGAACTGGCGAGCTGCGGCTGCGCATTCCCATCAGAAGGTGTGCTGGACTCGGCTTCTGAACCTGTGGCTGAAGTCTGGGGTGGTTTGGGCGTCGTCACGTGACTACCTTCGGAACGGCTTGCGACTGTCGTCGTGGTCGTGGGAAACCGGCGGGAACTGCTAGGGAAAGAAAAGAGAACGGTTAAGGGAAGAGCTGATAAAAAGCTGAAGGGGAGGGCACAGGAGAGAGACTCTCGTCAGCGCTACAGCCTCCCAAATCAGGGGTAGTTCGAGGAGACCTCTGTGGGGCTCTGCAGGGCCTTCTCCTGAGCCCGGGGCTGGTCCCCTGAGACACATCCATTAGCAATTCAGTTTTGACAAATGTTGCTATTGGGCTCCCAGAACTTTCTAGAAGATACGGATAGACAGAAAAGGGTGGTGGTGAGTGGCCTTTGTGGCACTCAGAAGATGCTACCCCAGAGACATTTTTGTTCATGTTTGTTAGTTGTTTTTGAGACAGGGTCTCCCTACATAGGCCAGGCTGTCCTGGAACTCACGGAGATCCGCCTGCCTCTGCTTCCTCAGTGCTGGGATTAAAGGAGTGCACCACAGAGTGTTTGTCTGTTTAACATCTATTTATTTATAGGAGCACGTGTGCCACAGTATGTGTGTAAAAGTCAGAGCACAGGCTCTCTCCTCTCACCACGTGGGTCCTGGGGCTCACACCTGGGGCATCAGGCTTGGTGGCAAGCGGCCTTAGCAACTGAGCCATCCTGTTGGACCCCAGAGAGAATTCTGCATAGCAATCACCAGTCTCAGAGACTGTGTGGGAAACGCTTGCTCCTCGTTAGCCTGGTTTCCACGCTTCCCCTAAACACCGGCGACTGTTAGCTCTGTCCTTTACCTCCGTGGACACGGAGTGCCTGGAGACAGGAAGCCTAATCGGGCGTTCTGTATCAGGAGACCCTTTCAGCCAGACAGAAGCCGTGTTCTTTGCTGTCTGTCCTGCCAGCAATAAAACAGTGTTTCCGGATTCTATTTCTTAAACTGATCCAAAGCTCGGTCAGGCAAGAGGAGTTGGGTCTTGGCTCTTTAAATTCCCACTTCGCGGCCCACAACCGACACTAGCCCCTCGAGGCAAACAGATGACCAGGGCTGCCAGCTTCACGAGTGGAACCGGCATTAACGAATCTCTATCGAGGGCTCGCCCGTGAGCAACGCGAGGATGCCCTGGGCAGCCTGGCTGCTGTGACCCCTTCCCCTCGGCCAAAGGCTTGCCCTGGCTGCGCTGCTGACTCACCTGCTGCACACAGGTTCCGGGGACGCCTCGCTGTCCAGCCGTTCATCCACGGCTTGGGGAGGCGGCGGAGGAAAGTCATCGGAGCCATTCACTAGGGTTTCCTGGCTCGGTGGAGGAGGTAGAGGCGGAGGCGGGGGAAGAGCTTCAAAGGCGGGGCTTGAAGCAACCTTGGGGTGCAAGTCCTTCACAAACACTTCGTCATCATAGTCCCCCCGGGGTGGCGGGGAAGCCTGCAGGGCTGACTCGGATATCCGGAGAGAGATCCTTCCTGGAGTATCTGGGTCTGAGGTGCTGCATGAACTGGGCAGACTCTGGTTTCTATAGTGCTTCGGGTTTGCAAGCTCAGGCGCCGAGGTGTCCTCGGAAAGGCCGTCCTCTCTGACTGCGGGGGCCCACTTCACCCACAGTGGAGGGGGTCGCTGAGGCGGGGACCCCCTCTTCCACATTCCCTCTTCCAGCCCATGCTCTGGGCCGTTGAACTCATGGCCTTTGGGGCTGGGAGGCTGGGTCAGGCTATGGCCATCGTGTCTGCGGGTCGCTGCGGGGGCGGAGGACGGAAGAGGCTGTCGTCCAGTCTGACCACTCCTGTCAGTCTGCGGGTCAATGGGGAGCTGTGAATGGTAACTGGAGGGGACAGGGGACGGCAGAGGGGAGCTGAGCGCGGCCACGGAGGCAGCTCTGGCATCTGGAAAGTGGCCTTGCATTCCTGCCGAAAGTGGCCTAGGGCAAGGTGTTCTAGGTTGCTTCAGATGGTCTGGGGCTCCAGAACATTCGGCAGGAGCTGAGGAACCAACCGTGGCTTTGTAGCCTAAGCCATTCCAGCAAGGGGTAGGATGGTGTAGGGGCAATGCCGGCTCTTTCTGGCCTCTGTCTGAGCAACTGATAGACCTGGAACAGGGCACAGACAGGAGGGTCAGAGCTCTCCAGAAACGGCAAACACTGAGCATCAGAAACACAGATGAGGACCCTCACCCCCAGAGACGCCGATACCCTCCCTGAACCAACTCAAACAAAGTAGACAAGCAGAGTCCCTACAGGCAGTGTCCGCTCGACCCTTCCTTTCAAGTCTCCCTCGCAGCCCCGTCTCCTGTCACAACACACATGTAAGATGGCCTCTGAGGACAGGCTGTAGGACATGACGAAAACAGGGAGCCCACGTCTTCAGCTCCTCTTTGGACCACTGTGGGGAGCTGCTCCGGGTTCTGGGGTGGGGGAAAGCCTGATGCCTCACTGTCCCCCCGAACCATCCCAAAGGAGGGGTCTGCCTGGGGAACATTTGTGTGGCTGCTGAGTCCGAAGGTTTGATTATAGCATTCTCTGTTCTCCAAGTCTCTTAGTGTTCTCATTTCCTAAGACAAAAATGAATAAATAACTAACTAAATAAAAAGGAGGGAGATACCCCCTAAGGAGCTAATCAGTTACCTCTGCAGGAGACTGACAATAAGCAAAAATACCTACATGGTGCCTTAAGCAAGTGTCTATAGTCACCAAGGAAATCCCTTTGTTATTGAAAGCAGAGAGACTGAGGAGCAGACACGGACACACACACACACACACACACACACGTACGTACGTACGTATACAGAGGGGCAGAGGGGAAGGAAGAGGTGGAGAGAAGAGAGAGTGCAGCAGAGGAGAGAGGAGAGAGTCGAGAGTACCCCTAGCCTGGACCTGTGACACAACAGTTAATGTGTGGACTAAAAAGACAATCTCTAGCAAATCCTGTCATTTGTGAATTCTGTATCTGCAGCTCCCCAGTTGGCCGTGGAAGGGAACCTGGAGAGCAGAAGACACACCTTTCATTTCACGGATCTGAGGCCTCGGACGGAGCAGTGACTCTTTCTTTCGTACATCCCGGCAGCAGCTGACCACAGAACCGTTAGGGTCAGGCAAGGCTAAGGCAGCACACAGAGGCAGGCCACAGACTCGAAGCCACGTGCATGCCTTTACTTTTATTAGCTACAGATGCCTGAGTAAAGAGCCTCTGAGCTTCTCCCTCTCAGATGTAGCCTCTCTCTACTGTGGAATAATCCTCTGTACACTGTGTGACTATATGTCGCTATGACTCCTTTAATAAACAAGCTGACTGGCCAATAGCTGAACAGGATAAAGTTGGGTGGGAAAGCCAAACTGAGGACAATGGGATGAGGAAGGGCGGACTCAGAGGAGTTGCCGAGAGAGCAAGATGGGCACACCAACCTGAGAAGAGGTACCAAGTCATGTGGCAAAGCAGATAAGAAATATGGGTTAATTTAAGTGTCCAAGTTAGCTAGTAACAAGCCTGAGCTATCGGCCGATCATTTATAATTTATATTGAGTCTCTGAGTCAGTTATCTGGGAAGCGGCTGCCAGTCATTTGGGAACAGGCAGTCAGGACAGGAAACATCCACCCACATCTCTCCATCCCCGTCACAGACCTCCTTCACTGAGTCCTTCTTCACCAGGGACCCTGCTACATTTATGGGCTCTTCCGCACCTCTCAGTGGATTTGGGGGCAAGTCCTCTGGGAATGCTTTTTCCTTCTATTCATGCGTTTTGGAATCCCTAGCACCTTGCAGGAAGTACCCTGTTGGTGTATGTCTGACGAAAGAATGGTGTTTCTTCTGCCCAGCCATTCTCCAGATTGGAGGATCGGAACCATTTTAAATTTAGCGTCTTAGCTGGGTGTGGTATGCACTAGGGAGGCTGAGGCAGGATCAAAGTTCCAGGCAAGCTTTTTGGGCTAGCTAGCAAATTCCTAGACTACGGGGTAAGAATCTGTCTCAAAACAAAACCAACCAGCCAAACAATAACACTTAGCATCTTCTAGGGGTCACCTAGCCTGCTTTCAAAGATATGTAACGTTAGTATGGCGAGCGTCTAAGTATCAGACTGCCTCCTTCCTGGGTGTCGTATTCGTCTGTGTTTATGATGTCCCCTTTAAAAGTCTCTAGACATACATCATAAACACAGACGAATACGACACCCAAGAAGGAGCCAGTCTAGTCTCAGGTGTCATTAGTTTATGTTTGCTCTCCCTCAGCACACTAACACTACATCCCTCAGGAAGCACGACTTAAGTTCAATGCTTCATTTGGTTGAGTTTCTTCACGGAGACTGCTTTTAAGCATCTTAGTTCACCTAGCTAATATAATCTAGGCTCATATTCGATAGGATTTCTTCTCTTTCTAAGGCTGGACAATATTCCACTGTGCTCTGTTTACATGGTCATTCCCTGATGGAGACTGGAGTCCTTGACTATTTCTGACTACTGTCAACAGTAAACCACCCTGCTATGAACACTCGCACGCAAGCCTTTCTCAGACTCAGCTTTCAGTCCTTTGGGATATACATATACTCAGGATTGCTATGGTTGGATCATAGGCTAGCTCAGTTTCAAATGCTTTCAGGAGCCTCCATACGGTTCTCTATGCCGCCAATTTACATTCCCATGGTGTACGGGGGTCAGGGTTCTGACTTCTCACCCTTGCCAACATTTTTTTCTTCTATTGCCACATACATGTACATACCTAGATCCAGTGCCAGCCAAACAACATGGGTCCTTCACGAAACCAAAGCTGCCGTCTTCCCTCAGGAGCACATCCTGGAAGCACAAGAACAGGGCAACGCTGAAGGAGGGCGCAGGAAGGAAAGAGAAGGAACCTGCATGCTGCTGACCCCTGTGGTCAGGCACCAGGGCAGCACTCTGACAGACTCTCCCATTTAGTCCTCAGAGCTCCAGGAAGTACTGCTGACAGCAGGCACTGGTGAGGAGACAGGCCCAGGGTCAGAGGTGGGAGTCAACACGGGAACTTCCTTCAGTGTCTGCAGGTGTCTCCCTCACAAGAACGCTTGTCGGGGAAAGGGAGTCTGAGAAGGATTACTGTGGAGTTCACGACTGCTGTAGTACCTAAGTGTGACGATAACGACATGAATTCGATGGGTCAAACTTTTGAAATGGCAGCAGGTGGCAATGGGAAATAGGACAGACAACAGGCAAAGTTACAGTTTTGCAAACTTTCAAGTGTTCTGAGTAGGAATCTAATTTGAAATCGGTGACAGTAAACTCTCTCAAGCCTCCCCCTTATGTGACATCAGTAACTCTGGGGGCTTTTCAGGGTAGTTTCTGTTTGTTTTTACTATGAGTAGATACTGGTATGTTGAAAGGGAACTGTTAACCCTGATGGTGTAAAACCTGTCCCCTGTGATCTGGTCTTGATGAAGAGGACACTGTTGCCATGGATGGTAATGTGGTCAGTTCTCCATTATCTACGGTACTAGGACACGGGCGGGAAAGGAGACTTCAGATCTAATGTGAACCTAGTATTAGTAACTTAGTCACTATTCATTCATCTAGTGGGCTAGCTGCCTTTTAGTTCCTCATCCATGTTTTTGTCTGGGTGGAGGAGGAACTCGGAGTCAATGAAGACTCAAATGTTGCTGGCTGGGGAGATAACAAGAGGACCAAGTGCTTGGTGGGGGCTGGAGTTCGGATCCCCAGAACTCATATAGATGCTGGTGGTCATGGTGGCCGGCCTGTAATTCTAACACTCCAGAGACAGGGGATCCCCAGAGCCAGCTGGCCAGCTAGATTAGTTACACTCATGAGCTCTGGGTTCAACTGAGAGACCCTGTCTCAGTACCACCAGCCCGGGGGTGGGGGGGTGGGGAGTCTCAACATCACCCTAGGGCCTCCAGGAACTTTACACACACATGCACACACTTATCTACATGTGTAAACAAAACAGCCAAAGGATGCATGGAGATACAGTTCAGTGGTAGAATGCTCGCCTAGCATGCATGAGGCCCTGGGTTCAATTCTCAGTATCGATTCTCCCCTCCACTGCTGCCCCCCTAAAAGTCAAAGGTGATCACAGGCAGAAGACATTAATAATCTCCCATTTCCCTGATCAGGTATATTACCGTGCCGGACACTTTGCTTAGTATCTTGCATGGACTATTATCTATTTGACATTTCTACTGCAATTTGCATGCATTCGTCAGTACACGTGTACATACCCTGTCAAGTGTGTTTATGCAGCTCAGAAACACTGCCTACAGTTAAACAAACAGGAACCAGGAGTCAAGCCAGGATCTCTCCAGAGCTCAAGACCTCTCTGTAGAATTTCAATAGGTTAAAGGCAGCTGATGGGTGGACGCAATCGGGTTTGAACGCTTGCAGATGAATTCCATGCAGTGACTCTCCTCCACTGCAGGACAGGAGCTCCTGTCCCACCACCCTTCCTTGTCGACACAATTGGGCCAGGTTTTGCCAACAGTTAACCTCAACAGCCTGGGAGCCATCTGAGTTCCTGGCACAGTGAAGTTTAAATATGTTTTCACATTCAATTCCATCCTCTGTGTTTCCGTATGGGAAAGCAGCTAACCTTCTGCATTCATGGGATTCGGCCCTGGAAAGGCTATAAATGTGGGTATGCATTTAAAAGGGAGTGGGAATTAACTCCAATAGTCGGCTATCAGTTCCCCACTTCTCACTCTCAAAGCACTGGGCCTTGAACATGCCAGGCAAGGTCTTTACCACTGAGCCATATACCCCAAACATCTTCTCAACCTAGCAGAAACCCAAGGAGGATATTCCTCTTGCGTGCGTTCACTGTCAAGCAATCCTTGACTTTCTGTAAACCGCTGAGTGTGAAGAATGTATTTGGGCAGCACAGAAAAGAACAGCAGTCGCCGGAGAAATACCAGGCATAGACACAGACCAACTTGATCAACAGCTGACTCATTTGGGGTAATTATTTCAAAACTGACTTAAAGGGGCAGGCAGATCTCTGTGGGTTCAACTAAACAAAAGCAGAGAAACCCAAGCCAACCCCCAGATCTCCGCACACCTAAGATGTAACCTGAAGTGGATAAAATCCCAATCCAGACTCTTTTTGAGGGGTTCCAAGTTTAATCATCTCTGAGACCAACAAAATACAGAGACTGCAATAGTTATGTACTCTAGGGTATTAGTTTCCAACATCTACTAAAGTGAATTAGGAACCCACATAAAACCTAGTTTAAATGTAAGTAATAACTAACAAACACTAAAATGAAATCACTTTACCACCTGCTACTTTCAGACAGAAGATGTCTTCCCACCTTTCCCCTGCTGACCTCTCTTTATTCAAGGGAACAGCTTGGTTTAATGACGTCAAGACCAGAGCAAGGCAATACTGTCTCCAACATTATTCTCTACCGCCTTGGGCAGACTTTTGTACCCTTTCTGGGCACCAGTCACCCCTCTTTAACGTAACAGTTATCAATCAACCTCACTGCGTATACAAAGATTAATTTTCTAGCTATAAAACAGTACAATGATTGGCACACGGCACAAACTCAATTAGCCTTGGCTACTTGTAATTTTACAATTCACAGAAAGTCAATTCTATTAATTATGCTCAAAGAATGGGTGCTTATTATCCGCTGCTTACTGGCTGTCCCAAAGAATCCTGCCTCCCGCCAACACTGCAGTGTGAGCCACTAATTCCCTCAGCAGCTTACTGAGTGTCATCCCCCCTCACAGGGAACGTGAAGGGCCCTGAAGACGCAGTCCAGATGAACCAGAGACGCCTCTGCCTCAGAATTAAGCTATGTAGAGTTTATTAAAAAGAAATAGGCTAGTCTACATTTTAAAGATTTATTTTGTTATTATGTGTGTATGTCTGTGTGTATGTCTGTGGACCACATGAATGCATGGTGTCTGCAGAGGCCAGAAGGTGCGGGATACCCTAGAACCGGAGTTACAGATGCTTGTGAGCTGTCATGTGGGTGCTGGGATCTGAAGCCCCATCCTTTGCAGGGGGCAGCAAGTGCTCTTAACCAGCTCTGAGAGACTCTGCTACATTTTAAGGACATGTAAGTGCTTTTGCAGCTTTGCGGACCCAGCACTAAGATGCCAAGGTGTCGCTGAACTTCAGTGGACACTGACGAGCAGGGGTCTAAGGAGCACGGAGGCTCCGTCCCTAGCAGTCACTGTTCTGCAACTGTGCTCCTCAAATGACAAGGAACACGGGGAAAACAAGGAATGGGTGCCGTGTGTGTGTGTCAGAGAGAATGCCAAGGAACCGAGGGAGAGGCCCCGTCAGGTCCCGGAGTAAAGCTCTCAGGCTACCTGTAGTTCAAACAGTGGCCTCCGGCAGTTATTACTTCAGGCCTCCAAATTATCAACCGTTATACTCAGGGGAACTGATTTTTACGATGACTTGTTTCGGGGACAGAAAGGACCTGACAGAATTTTGAGAAGGACTATCATATTGTTCACCCCCCACCCCACACACACACTGAAGCTTATAAAATCTCACACTATACCAGCATCTGATTAATAAGAGCAATCATGCTCTGCGGGTGTCATAAACTCAGACAGTGCCAGAAGTGAAATCCACAGACTTTTGGTTTTACCTCAGCCTGTACAAGGTTACTTACCTTGTTTGAGTTCACTGAAGCTGGAAGAAAAATTCTTCATTAACTAAACCTTTACAAAAATCCTAGATAATGGGAGAATTCTTTAAACTTACAATTCCAAAAACTAAAAATTTGAATTTATAGTTCTAAAAAAAATCATAATTCGCCAAGTATTTATTCGGTAAGAATCATCTTGTTTCTTTTTTCTCCCTGCCCTGCTCCAGTGGTTGGAGACCAAATCCAGGGCCGGTACCTGCTGGCTTTCTATCATCAAACGACACCCTCCGGCCCACTGCTTTGTTTTAACCACAAATAAGGTTAAAGATGAAGAGCATGCACGAAGTTATCCCACGGCGTCTCTAGTCAGGCCGGGACTAGCTGCTGGGCCGGAAGCAGCTCAAGAATGCCTGCGAGTTGGTGCCGAGCAGTACAAAGCAGGTCTCTCATCCTGGATATTCCTCCTTGGCTCCATATCCCCCGATTAAATAACAATTAAGTGTGGCATCCCCTTATTAGAAGAACACCTAAATACTGTTCTGTGTTCAGTTATCTTTCTAAAAGCAATTTCACAAATAGTACAAAGTACTAACTTGGGATTTGAAGAAACCTTACCACTTCTCCAAAACCTAAAAGCTCACTTGAAATTTTTTTCCCAAGTGACCAGCTTATGAAATATTGTGTGTGTGTGCGCGCGCGCGTATGCGCGCGCGCGCATGTTAACACACAAAGCACTCAGTCATCTAACCAATTCCCCAAGACAGAATAATGACATTTAAACACGAGAAGATTTATTTTTTGCCTATGCTTTTCTATCTGTTTTGTCGAGACAGGGTCTCTCCACATAGCCCTGGCTATCCTAGAACTCACTATGTAGACCAGGCTGACCTTGAACTCACAGATACGTGCCTGCCTCCTGAGCGCTGGTAATAAAAGTGTGCACTACCACACCCAGCTTTTTTTTTTTTTTCTTTTTCTTTTTTTAATCATATCATCTTTACAGTATTGGGAAAGAAGAACAAACAGTTTGGGCTTCTATGTAGTAAACTACTGCTGTAAAAATTAGCTGGAAAATCTTGTAACTACAGAGTTTAAATGATCCGTAGGGGAGAAAGCAGCACTGTAGGCTTTAATGGACTCTCTGGTTTTTTTTAAAGTGGGAGTTACACTGGAGAGAATATTCCTAGATAGTTTTCAGCAGAAACTATCTGGGAGAGCACAGCATTTTCTCCCAGAGGGATGTGTGTGAGTGGGTATGTGTGTGCACACATGTTTTAATACACTGGGAGACAGGACAGTTCCTAAAACCTACATCCACCTACATAAAATACCAAAAACAAGACCTGGTGGCAAAGGTTTCTTTCAACTAATTGGAATTCTGAGACAGATGGACTGACAAGTTCAACGCCAGCCTAGACTGTGGGGGACCTGCTCCTACTTTTTCCCCCAGGGTACTCTTGAGCAGGGAGAAGTGAGAAACATTTAGACAGAAATATAGAGGGGAGAGAGATAGATAGAAACACAGGATAGCCTCGGGAGGGCCTGGGTCAAAACCCACCAGCCCCTTCTGTCGCTGCTAAAGGTCTATTTATAGAAATGCCAAGGGGTGAAGCAAAAGACCTTCCCCCAGCACAGCCAATGCAGACCCTTCTAAATACCTGGTGACCAATCCATCCCCTTATGCAGCCTTGCTGTGTAAAGCAAGTTCAGATCTCACTAGGAAACCTCTGTGGGCCTCCACACTAGACAACGTAGTGAGACTCTATCTCAAAAGAAAAAGTACAAGAGGCTGGGTGGGTATAGCTCTGTGGCTACAGTACTTATTTGGCATGGAGGGTTCAACTGCCAGTACCACGAACAACCATAAAACAACTATATAACTAAAAAAACCTACATAGATATTTATATATCTGTACAGAAATCAAGTAAGATAGCTCTAGAAAACTGCAGGAAAAAAATATTACTTTCCTGAATTTAAAAGAAAAAAAAAAACTGAACAAAGGAGAGATGTTAGAGTCAGAGGGCCAGTCCCAGGCCAGGGGCTTGGCTGCACCTACCTGGCCTTTTTTGTCAGAGGTGGGAGACGACCTGGACCTCACGTGCACAGGGACCGCCAGGGTATCAGAGCGCTCCAGCAGATCCTCGGCTGACTTGGACTTCCCCGCCTTGGCGGCCACCATGTCCCAGGAAGGCGACCCGCCAGGGGTCCTGTCCATTCTCTGGGTGCCCCTGGGTCCGCAGTTACCTCCGCTGAGCAGCTGTCGGGGGATCTGGGGGTCCCAGCGTCGTCGCTCCCCGACGAGGCGTCCGCTGGCGAAGGAGCTGCTGCGATCCCGGGGCGCCTGGGGGGCATCTGCGGCTGCCGACAGGTGGGGGTGCTCCTTGCGGTGCAGCGCCTCGGGCTCCCGCAGCAGCGAGCTCAGGCTGCAGGCGGAGGCCAGGCCGGGGCCGTCGGGGCCGGCCTGGAGGTAAGCGCTCTGGGCGCGCTCGCGCAGCCCGGGCTCCTGGGGACAGGCGGCGGAGGCGGGCCGCTTGCCGGTCTTGCGCTGGATGTAGTCGGCCAGGGCGCTCTGCTGGAACTGCTTGAGCTCGGGCCCGGACAAGCTGAGGCTGGAGCAGGCCTTGCCGTCGCGCTCGAAGAGGCGGCGCCGGTCGGCCACGGTGCTCTCCGAGAAGCGCGGCGGCGGCGGGGCCGTCGGCCGCTGGGGGCCGCAGCAGGGCGCGGCGGGCTCGGCCTCCTCCGACACCCCGACCTCGTTCATCTTCTCGGGCTCCGAGTAGGAGCGCTTCTTCTGCTCGGGCGTGAGGCGCCGCCGTGCACCTCGCCGGGCAGCCTGGGGTGCGGCCGGGGTCACGCTGTGCCGCTCCCGAGGGGTGTGTGGGGAGGACGAGGATGCTGAGGATGCGGATGCTGAAGCTGCTGCTGCTGCTGCTGCTGCTGCAGCAGCGGAGGTGGCGGCCTCGGGGCTCCGCATCCCCACGTGGGCAGAGGCGGGTCGCGGGCGCCAGGGCCTCGAGGTGGCGGCGGGGGTGCCCGGCTCTAGGTCCCGGCGACGGAACGAGGTGGCCCCCAGGACGCGGGACTGGGCATCCTTGATGCTGTTTCTGTAGGCGCGGCTGAAGGGCGCGTCGAGCGGGGGCGACTCGGGGGTGCCGGGCCGGTCCTCCGACCACGCGGCGGCGGCGGCGGCCGCTTCCCTCTCGGCCTCGCTGAAGAGCTGGAAGGTGCTCTGGCTGCGCAGCAGGCGGGCCTCGGGCCTCGGGGGCTCGGCAGCTCGGCCGGGGGGTCCGCGGCCCTCGGCGGCCCTCCTCGGCGGCTGGCCGCACGGCTGCCAGGGCGCCTCCTCGAGCTTCGCCTCCCCGTTGCGCGGCTGCTCCGTGGCCTCCGTGGAGAGATGGACGCCGGCGGCTTTGGGATCCTCAAAGTCACTGCCGCTCCGACCGGGCCTGGCGTTCGGGCCGAAGGTGGTGCAGCTGCCCACGCTGGGGAGCCGGTGGCGGCCCTGCTCTCGCTCCTCTATCTTGGAGACCTTCTCCAGCACCGAACACGGGGTCTTCCTGTACTGCAGGGCGGAGGAGGAGGGGGAGGAGGGGGAGGCGCTGCTGGAGCTGGGTCTCCTGGGAGCCACGCCGCATGTCTGCTGCAGGGGTGGGGCCGGGGGCTCTGCAGACCTGGGGTCTGCGGCCTGCACCTTGCCCTCCGGCCTTGGGCAGGAAGCGGGCCTGTCCAGGTAGCTCCTGCCGTCGGGCCCGGCTTTCCTCCCGGGCTCTTCGACGGTGGCGTAGAGGGCACAGGGGGGCCTGCCACCGGGGGAACCCTCCTGGGCCTCTCCTCCGAGCTCCACGCTGCTGCTTCGTCTCCTCAGGCTCTCTGGAATGTTCTGGAGGGAGGCGAAGGCCAACTTGGACCTGCCAAAGTTGCTCTGGCCGCTGTGACCTTCCCTCTCCTGTTTCTGCCTGGGGTTGGCGTTGTGATCTTCCTGGAAGTCACCGTCCCGGGGCTGGGGGAGCCTGGAGGGCCTCCGGTCACCACCCACGGGCGAGGCGGCCGGGGCCCGAGGAGGTGAGAGGCCCTGGTGATTGGCGATCCGTCTCTCGCTGGGGTATGGGCTGCTGTTGCCTTGCAGAGGCGCGACGTGTCTCTTCAGGGAGGCGTCTTCATTTCCAGGCGCTGAAGAAAAATGGACTTTGTAGGAGACGAATCTGGCCGTGGGCTCTGGGTTCCTCTCCGCCGGGGCCGCCGAGTCCCGCTCCGGGGGCTGGCAGAAGGCGAACCCGGGCCTGCTGGCTTCACGGTGGTTCCCGTTCTCGTCCAAGGCAGCCATCCTGTTGTTACAAGCTCCCTGGGCAGCGGCATAGCCACTCTCCTTGACCAGGGCGGGGTAGACGGTGCCGTTACTGCTCACGGAAGGCTGGGGCACCTGGGCAAAGTGCGGCTCTGGGGAAGGCACCGGGTAGATGCCGGTGGGCAGCAGGGGCTGGCCAGGCTGTGCCTTCTGGGCATAGGCATGCTTGGGCCTCACCGGGGGGCTGCTCTCCGGACTCCTCTCTAGGACCGTGTGCAGCTGTTCCTCGAGGAACGGCGTCTTCGAGGGGCCCGAGGAGTTGCCCTGCGGCCTGCAGAACCTCTTCTGATCAAGGCTCGACCAGGAGCTGGGACGCTCGCGCTGCCGGATGGCTGCGTAGCTGTCGCTCCGAGTCGGGGGCGTGGGTGCGCCCACTTTAGGGGGCAGGTTGTCAGTGGCGGCATCCGAGGAGCCCGGGCACTGCTGGCTCCAGGATGGGGATGGCGCCCCCTTGCCCCGAGGAACGCTGTGCCATTTGGCACAGCCCTGGATACCTGCTGGGGCGTGGGCGTCCCTGCCTGGAAGGAGCAGAGCGGAAGGGTTCACCTCATACTCGGACGAGACCCCCCTCCGGGTATCGTAGACTGTCTTGACGTAGCGAATGTCTGCTTGCCTCATCCCTTCTAGGAGGCCGCCTCGAGCAGAAATCATGTCCGTGGAAGCTGACCGTTCTTGGCCGGAGCCACCAGGGGGTGGGTACTCCAGGATGCTAGAACTCGTGGAGAAGGAACTATAGGCCGAGTCTCTTTTGTTATGGAGGTGGCCCAGCTGGTCGATGCTGCTCGTGGACTTGGCAGGGGAAAGAGGGTGGCAGGATGGGTACCCGCCACCAGGCTCCAGGCTTTCCATGCTCCCTTGGGAGCTGCACTGGTCAGGGCTCCGCCTCAGATAAGCATGGTCGTAGTTGGAGAGGTCACTTGTGGAAGAGCTGGGAGGGAGGACAGAGACAAAGCAGTCAGTTGGCTGAGGAGTTTAGTGGACTCACAGACACAGGGCTCGGCTTATAAATTCACTCTTATGCAAGAGGTCCCATTTTCGGAAGGGCGGGTAAAGAGGGCCTTGTTTGGGGCTTGTTCCGATTCCCTGTGTCATCACTAGGATTAACTGCCCAATGCTATGGCCTTAGGAGCCTCTAATTAATCACTCAGGCTTACCAGGAGGAAGGGCTGGCCTTAGGCACAGGCAGCACGCTGATGGGGCTTGCTGCATTGTGAATGACATTTTACACATGCCCTGAAATGAAGGAGGTGAGTGGGGAAAAACGGAAGAGAAGGAAGGATGACGGGGAGAACATTCTCTGTCTCTTGAGATATTGTGGGGGAGATCGAGAAAAGCTTAGTAAGCCAATAGGCATGTGAAGGCTGGGGGACTTGGGGAGCACATGCTTATGATTTTAGTTAATATCATTCCTTTTTATGGAGTCAAAAGCTGGGCCCTGGCAACCTTCCTGGAGTCTCAACATTGGTAGGGACGGTTTGTTTGTGGGGAGAAGCTAAACACGAAGCTGAAAAGAGAAATACTCGGGGAGACGTGGGAGCCAGAAAAGGCCAATGAGAGAAGAGAGGGTAAGGGAGAGAGGGAGGCTGGGAAGGAGGTCTTAGCCACAGGAGGTCCTTTAGGCTGGGGTTCCAACACCAGAGCCATCCTCAGTGTGCCGTCAGGAGAGCAAGACCTTCGTCGATCTCTGCTCCTCTGGGTTGGGGAGAGGGAAAGAGTCTCAATACTGGCCCTTCATACCTCAGAAAACTGCCTCAAAAAAATGTGAGATAACCACAGAGTTCAACATGCACGTGTGGGGACCAGGGAGTTTGGGAAATCTTTGTAGCATCCATTCCATTTTGCTATGAGTTTAAAACCGCTCTACTGATTGATTATAGGGGGCTGGAGAGACGGCTCAGTAGTTAATAACAGCCCTGGCTGGGTTCGGTTCTCAGCACTCACATGGTGGCTCACAACTGTCTCTAACTCCTGTCCCAAGAGCTCTGACTCTGTCTTCTGGCCTTGGCAGCCACTGGGTATACATAGGTACACAGCCCTTGCCCAGCATATGCGAGAAACCAGAAAGGGAAAAGAAATTCTCTACCTCTGGAGAAGCCATATTAGAATAAACGAAGCTCAATCAGCAGTCTCTTTATGGTAAACGCTGTGACTCACTGTTCTCCAAAGGAAGGTAAATCACGAGCTCTTACCTAGGCTATTCCTTTACAGACGAGTAGAGACTCAAGAGCAATTAAAATCATGTAGTATATATATTTCTAGATCTCATATAAGCAAATGTAATGACGCAGTGCCGAGTGTATGCTTTTAATGTTTTAAACTGGAATGACTCCAGAGAATGTATGAAGAGACTCGAAGACAATGTTCAGAGTGAAAACTAGTGAGGGACCAGCAAATCATTCTGTGGTCAGCAAGAAGACCACATGCTCAGCATTTTACCTCAACAGAGTCTAATTTGTCTCGTCTGGGAAAGTCAACTAACTGAAGCATCCTGCTTTGGGAAGGACAGGATAAGGTCAAGAGAGAAAGAAGAAACAGTTCCTGAGCCTGCCAGCTCAGGAAAAATTGACCTGCCCTCAACGGCATGGCATGTGTCGTGGCTAAATTTTACCGCGCCCTGCCTCCTACTTTCCTGGTTCTCCTCTAAAGTGAAGAGGCTTGCTGCACAGGTAAGGAAGGAGAGCCCTTCAAGTCAGCCCCATCTGTCTGGCTGCAATTCCTCTAACTTCCTGCAGCAGGAGGTGCAGAGGTGAGGCTTGTAGTGGAAGTGGACACAGCAAAAGTCATTTGCTGAATTGGAAATTCAGACCTAACTTAGGGACATACACATAAGCAACTACACCAACAGCCGGCTGGACCACCACTGAGCAGGGAGAATGCCATCACTGATGGATCTCAGAATATAGGAAGTTACGCCTGACTCTCGCCAGACCAGAGCAAGTGTCTAGGGGGCCCACTTCCTATTGCAGACCTCAACTGGACAGCACCACATGAGGACTTTGTAAGGCTACTCTCCTGGGGGTTGCTCTGTCCCTCAGTGGTCCGTCATCGGGCTGCCTAGGGATGCGGGGCCTGATGCTGGCCTCCGGGAATAAGTCTTTTCACTATTATCTGGAGATACTCATTCCTATTAGCTTTGATGTTCCTGCTTCTAAAATGCATTCATGGAGGTGGGATGAGTCAGTGAGGAATGACATCTTCAGTCCTGCCAGTTTCAATGCTAACACAGGTAACCTGACTATCAAGGACTGCATCTTCCATAGGTCAAAGTCCTTACCGTGGTCTGGCTGCCTCTCCAACCTCACCGTCTACTGCTGTCCTTGCTCACTGCACTCCAGCCCCTGACCCTCCTGGCAGTGACTCAGGCCTATGAGACCCATCTCTGCCAGTGTCGAGGACTTTTGGTACTCGCTGCTCTACCACCCGGAGTGCCCGTCACCTGGCTCACTCCCTTCCCTTCCTCAAGTCTCGATGTCAGAAGACTTCCAAAAACAACCTTCACCTTGGCTCTCCTTACATCCTGTAACGCTGTTTTTATTTCCCCCGTAGCATTTATACCACTTGACATTATATCACAGCTTTGGTTACGTGAAAGCTATTCAGTTCTAGCCACAATGTTTAAAGAATGAACGCACACACAGAGCATTTGCTGATTCTGTGGCAGACACACACATGTGCTCTTCTATGCTACTCTGGGGTTCGTGTACTTAGAAGTAATTTTGGGGGCTGAAGAGATGGCTCAGCAGTTAAGAGCACATGTTGATATTGCAGAGGACCTGCGTTTGGCTCCCAACCACCAAAACTCCAGTTCCAGAGGATTAGCAATCTCTTCAGACTCAAGGGCACCAGGCATGCATGTGGTACACATACATGCATGCAGGCAAAATACTTATACTCACAGAATAAAGTATTTCTCAAAAAAAAGGGTAATTTTTAAATGCTCAAAACATTGTGAAAAGCACAGACAAGCATATGAAAAATTTCCTGATGTGTACTCACAGAACCTTAATTCCTAAAATGATCGAATCTGTTTGCAAAACACTGGGCTGAAGTTAAACAAGTCTGTTTACCGCCAGACTTCTGGGTCTTCCGTAAACTATTGTTCATCTGTCGTTCCAAGGGGGAAATGCACGAAGCAAAGTTTTCTAAACTTATTCGACTCTAGAGACTTTCTGCCAAGGAATACTTCATGAACTTTCACTTCATGGAAGACTCTTGGAGAAACAGTGTTATAAGGTGAAGCATTTCCCATCTTGTTCAGGGAGCGTGCCCATCACTAAGGCCATCTGAGACATGGGGGTGCTCGCATTTGCCAGGTGAATGGATCTCTCAGTGAGTCCTGTGCATGAGTGTTTTGATACTGCTACTTCAGCCTCCTGTCAGAGAGACGACGTGTCCTTGCAGTCTCTCCTGATACTTCAGAACCACTCTCAGACAGCAGAGAGAAAGTGGCAAGGGCCTGGCAGAAAGCAGCTACCGTCAAATTTCGGGACAATTCCAAATCCAACCTCGCTCACAAGACAGTTAAAACCAACGGCCCTCACTGCCTCTGCCCCTCCAACACCTCCCCATCCCCTTACTCTGCTGTTTTCATGAGAAAAAGACCCCCGGACTTAGACCTAAAATTGGGCTTGGGAAACTGAATTCAGGCCACCAGAGGGAAGCCAACCACCAACCTGGCACACTAGGTCACTGTGAGCCTAGGGACACCCCGGTGGTCCTTTTCCGGCTACTGCTGCCACTGTGTGTCCACGAGTAGACTGAGAGGGAGGGGATGCCGTGTGACAGAGCCACAGAGGTGTGCCTGGGCTACGGTGGGAGAGGACTCAGAGACCTGCAGCATTCTGGGTAATCTGAGCTTGCTGTTCTATGGCACAGGGCTTGTGTGTTAATAGCCACGTTGGCATCAAAGGAGCAGGAGGCAGACACAGTGCCAGCATAGCTCAGCCTCTCTAACCCCTCTACTGGAGGCCAGGACAAGGGGAGAGGGGCAGGGCGGCCTTCCGGATACTGCTGTATAGTATACCACCGCCACAGTCACTCGAGCAGGGGTCCCACACCCTGACCACACCGGTCTCGTTTCTGCTGTAGGGTCGGTACATTCCTGAGGTCACATTGGGACTTCAGCTTTAGGGCTTCCTAAGGCAGTGAGGACGGGAGGGCTGGGAGGTTGTAAAGGAGTCGCCATTCAGTGGCACTCATGTGTTCTGCTTTGTGCTAAGTCCTTCAGCAGGTTTCCCTGGACCCCTAAATCCACAGCCTGCTTATTATAATTGTCATGTATGGAATGTTTCCCGTGCACTAGGAGTTGCATGCATTCCTTTATTTAATGCTCACAATGACCCAGTGACATGGGTGTCCTTAATTCCATTCTAGAGAAAAGGAAGTCGAGATCAAAGGGTGCTCACGCTCATGAGCAGGTGAGGAATGAGAGTGACCCCAAGGTCATACCTAAAACCTCAAGCAGTCTGCTCCTCCTCCCTTAGGTGGTCAGGTGCCCACACTCTACAAAGCCCCAACACTTACGGCGCTGTAAATCAAGGGTCCTTTGTGGAGGGTGTACTGTGAGGGAACCTAGTCTGGAGCAGATGGCTCAGATGCTGTGAACTGGTCTCCTAAGAGACTGGGAGGACACTAGGTGTGGGTGGCACAAGTCTTTAATCCCAGCACTTGGAAGGCGGAGGCAGGCGGATCTCTGTGAGTTCGAGGCCAGCCTGGTCTCCAGACCAGGGCTGTTATACAGAGAAACCCTGTCTCAACCCCCACCCCCACCCCGCCCACCTCCTGAGAGAGAGAGAGAGAGAGAGAGACAGACAGACAGACAGACTGGGAGGCAGAGGGAAAGGAGTGTCTATAGGAAGTTAAGTAACTAGGAGTCACTTCTTCCTGTGGCCTGACGCTTACTCTAATATGACAGAAGAGGTCTGTCCGGTCCTGTGTCCACCAATGAGAGGCCTAGGATTTGCCTTTGAGCCAGTCATGATCCTTAAGGGCTGTAATTGAGTCAATCCTACCTTTCTCCCAAGTACAGCCACCCTCTGTTAAATAACCCTTCCAGAAGCCTCCCAGTGGCTCTCCCTAACACACTATCTGCACCTCACTCTTACGTAGGTGTGAAATGCCCTTCCCACCTCCCTACCATTGCCCCACCTGTGTGTGACTCAAGTGATGATAATACTGTGTAGAGCCTGATTCCTCAGGATCAAAATGGAGGCTAGCTTGTGCATGCAGCTGGTGTGGGCAATCTTGACTTCGGTTTCGTCTTCAGTATGCCTGAGGGTCTGGGCTAGGATCTCCTTTTCCCAGTTCCTCTCAGATGTGTTAAGGGTCGATTTCTGGAGTAAACCCCTTGGGCTGCCACACTCATGGAGGCGCTGTTCACTCTTGACAACAGCACACATGTAACCTAGCAGCTACACGTGAAGACTGCAGGACCTGACTCAGCTCTGTCCTCACTCACATACTGATCCCCTGTCCACACTCAGACAGACTAATTTGCTCACACTGCAAAATGGCATAAACTTCCGTATTCCTTTTATTATTTTTTTTTTCTTTTTAGTTTTTCGAGATAGAGTTTTTCTGTGTAGCCCTGTCCAGGCTGTCCTGGAACTCGCTCTGTAGACCAGGCTGGCCTCGAACTCACAGAGATTGGCCTGCTTCTGCCTTCTGAGTGCTGGGATTAAAGATGTGTGCCACCACCGCCCAGCAACTTCTGTATTCTTTAAAATAGTACTGCATACAGAAGAGGGAAATGAACAACGGACTTCGGGAAATCACGTGTCACTGAGAAATTCTCCATCTTAGTTGTTTCTGCTATAGGGCCAAGCAAGATGAACTGCTTTGACAGAAAGAGAAACCCCAAGCAGAACATTTAAATATAGGCGTATCATCAATTCAGTTGAAAATATATACAATTTTGAATAGCGCAGACAGGACACTGAAGCACCCAGGAAAGAAGTCTGTCAAATTTTCAGATATGGGATTGTAATAGGTATTGAGAAATAGCTGAAGGGGAATGGGTTCCAAAAATATCCCAAATCACCAGCCGTGATCAAGCTTTCCTGCCTTCCCTCAACCATCTAGGTCAGGAAGTGATGGAAGGATGAGCCACCCACACAGCTAGCATTTTAAGAGGATGAGAAAAAAGACATTTTGGGGGAGAGCATGACCTTTGAAGGAGAGAAACCCTTGGATGCCAGCTGTGGCCACTCACCTGGAATGGTAGCTCTGGTGCCAAGGAGGGCCCATCGTGCCCTGAGATATCTGCATCATGCTGGCATCAGGCTTGTTCTCTCCAAATTTGGTCGTATGCCACGAGTGGGGGCGAGCGGCGGGTTCACTGCACCTGAGGAGACACAGGAGGGGACCCTTCAGCATCAGCAGCTTCTCGGCCGAGTCCCCTCACAAAGCAAGGTGGCGTGGGGACCCAGAGACCTGGGTCCCAAGAGATCACAGATGCAAGCATCGCTTACTTCTCCTCAGCTCGACAAATATTCCATTTTACCTCTTATCTCCCATCACTTCGGACCGCACAGGAGTGTTGCCAAGCCAGGGTAACTTTATATATACAGGCTTCCTCCATGTTGGCATTTTGTGCCTTCTGAATGTAAGGACATGGTTGGCCCTCCAGATTTAAAGGAAAACACCAAAATTCCTTCCTATTTCCCAAGGGACTTTGCGTATATGCACTGTAAAAAGCTTCCTGGGGCTTTTCAGGTCCTCTGCCAGACTCTGGGTGGACGGTGCTATTCACTGTCTTGGTAAGAACTGTATGAAAGTCAGAGGCTGCCCTGCATTGACAATGAATGTTCCACGCCACAGTCTAGAGAACAGAGTGTTCTCCAAAAGACTTTCTTTCTCATTTTGCAAGTCGGTGACTTCAACTTCTAAGCATCCTGCCCTTCAAACACAAAGATCTGATGGAGCCGAAGAGAAAATGTGGGTGTCCTTTAGACCGAACATGAGTTCAAGGAGGAGTCAGGGACTACAGAAAGCCAGAGTCACGGGACAGCTGCGGCGCAGTATTTTTGTCTAAAGAGTGAGGTGATCCATCAGGGCATCTCACGCTGACAACTTCTGAACTCTGAGATCACAGGGGGATACTTCTGTAGTTTAGAAACACTTTGGGATACAGAACCCCACTTGATAAGATGGAAATAATAGATGTAACTTATCCCAACCCCTCATACTTGCCCCTGAGCCCTAAAACCCTATCCATTTCTCCCCTGTAACAAATAAATTAGCTTCTATAATGCACAGGAAAACCCGATCCCATGATGGCCGTGAACTTTTACTTGTTAGGCAAATGGAACACTATTAGACCAGGTGCCTGGAGACTTTAGTCCTCAGCCAGACTTTGTTGTTAACTGGCTGTGGAAGTCACTTCCTGTCCCTAAATTTCTGCATGCCTAAAACCTGAAGACACTAATCAGAGGCTCAATTCATCTTATTTTAATCTGATTTTCTGAGACTAACATTATAGCTGGCCCAGAGTAAAATATCAATAGATATTAAGTACTATTCGATATAACTCATTTGCTGCTAATGAACTGATAGAATAGAGGCCAGACAGACAAGCCTGTTAGACTGACCTAAAAGGAAGGGGAAAACGAGGAGAAAGAAGTTGAGGGTGGATGATGGCGGATATGGGAATGGGTAGGAGGAAATATTGACGCAACCACCACCCTTCCAGCTCCAAGATCGTTTCTGGAGATTAAGAGTCAATAATTACACAGAGGAGGGCCAGCCAGATGGCTCAGCTGGCAGACACTTCTGTGCAAGCCTGACAATCTCAGTCTGATCCCTGGAACCCTCGGGAAGGTGGAAAGAGAACCGACTCCACAGTTATCCTCTGACCGTTGCCTGGGCCGTCCGTGCCCCCTTCTATCAGGTGTACCCACAAATAACTATCTTTTAGAAGTGTAAAAAGGAATCACACAGAGACCGGTCTCCAAGGTAACTGTGGTAAAGCAAACAGGGTGTGGCCACAGAGGCGAGGCGGGGAGCTGCTATGGCCCTGGCTGCGGCCTGAAACCAGAAGGGTAAACAGAGGCCAAACGGTACAACTGCCTGCCTGGAATCTACATGATAGCGAAAGGAATCTGGTGATGAAGCAGGCATCCAAGATGGCGCTGCAGAAAACCCAGCCACCCTTGAGGAACTGGGCTGAGGCCGCAGCCCACTTTTCTGGGGAACTTGATGTGCAAGGTCCAAGGAGGTCGAGCAACAGGAGAGCTGATGTGCTGTGCTGTGCTGGCCTGCGGCTAGCTCTCCAACCGTCCCCTCTAAAAGAGCTGGCTCGGTGCTCTCTAGTCCCCTAAAGGCTCAAGAGACAGGCCCTTAGGGGACCAGAGAGGTCCTGGGCGGGCTGGAATACACTTGCTCTTTTCTTGGTCTCTTGTTGTTTTATCCTTCATCCCATTAACCCAACAAAGGAAACGTAGGTTCCAATCTAGTTTCTAAACCAGATACCACTGGTTTTGAGCTTTGGGTTTTTTTTTTTAAGTACCTGTAAGTAATAAATTTTCACCTTGACTTTCCTTCTGGTTATAATGGGCCAGTGTTATGATCTGAGAGTGAAATGTCCTCACGTGTTTGAACACTCGGCCCCAGCTTACGGGGTGCTGTTCTGAGAGGCTGTGGGACCTGTAGGAGGTGGGGTCCAGACAGAGGAAGTGGGCTGCCGAGGGATGGGTCTTGAGGGGTAATTACGGCCCAGCCTCACTTCTGGCCTGCGATCTCTGCTCCTTAGCAGTCGGCAGTACCAAGAACCAGAGCTGCTCTCCCTTCCTGCCTTCCTCACTGTGGTGGGCTGCACCCGCTCAACTCCACTGAGTTTCTCACCGTGGTGGGCTGCACCCGCTCAACTCCACTGAGTTTCTCACCGTGGTGGGCTGCACCCGCTCAACTCCACTGAGTTTCTCACCATGATGGGCTGCAGCCGCTCAACTCCACTAAGGATCCTCACTGTGGTGGGCTGCAGCTGCTCAACTCCACTAAGGATCCTCACTGTGGTGGGCTGCACCCGCTCAACTCCACTCAGTTTCCTCACCGTGATGGGTTGCACCCGCTCAACTCCACTGAGTTTCTCACCGTGGTGGGCTGCACCCGCTCAACTCCACTGAGTTTCTCACCGTGGTGGGCTGCACCCGCTCAGCTCCACTAAGGTTCCTCACAGTGGTGGGCTGCACCCGCTCAACTCCACTGAGTTTCCTCAGGTGGGTATTCTGTCATAGTGATGAGAAGAGTAATCCACTCAGGCTACGAGGGTTCAGACGGGAACACCAACTATACTGGGAACTGGACTAGAAACCGCTCAGAGGACATTCTGGCACATGATGTGTCCACATTGCCCATGTCCTGAAAGGCAGGAAGGCTGAATATGATTTGGCAGAGGGGGTTTCAGGACAGCATAGCACTCAGGAATGGCTTGGTGGTTAATCGCTGGCTGCTTTTTAGCCAGGTTTAGAGCCAAATTCATGAACCTAGGAAATTCCAGGGCAGCAACATGGTTATTAACCATTGTGTTTAGACAGAGTTATATTGAGAACGGGAAGCAGGGAAGACTGGAGCAGCAAGATTTAGAGATACAGTCTGGCAAGAAGACGAGCAGGCTGCTCGTGGCTGCCGGTGTCAGCACCGGGAGGTGGCAGGATCTTTACCGAGAGGGAGGTCTGCTGGTTACTGCCGGCACGTCCATGAAGGGGACGGTGAGACCTTCGTTGTTGTGGTTTTAATGTGAAATGTCCCTCACAAGCTCGTGTGTCTCAACACTTGGTCCCTGGTTAGTGGTGCTGTTTGTGAAGGTTGTGGAACCTTCAGAAGGCAGAGGAAGTGGATTGCTGGGGGAGGGCCCTGGGGCTCTATAGCCGGCCACATTTCCTGTTCATACTGTGCTTCCCGTGTACAGCTACAATGTGGCCAGCCAAGCCTCCCGACCTGCCCCCACGCCTCTCCTGCCCACCGCCATGTCTTCCTCACCATGATGGTGTCTATCCCTCGGGAACTGGAAGCCAAAATTCTTGTTCTCTGTTAAGTTGCTCTTGTATCAGAGGAACAAGGAGGTAACTAAGACACTATTCTTCCTCAATCCCCCCCCACCACGTGAGGTGAGCAGCTGTGCACACCAATGCCACTTCCTGTCCTGCACAGGCCTATGAGGTGAGCACCTGTGCACACCAATGCCACTTCCTGTCCTGCACAGGCCTATGAGGTGAGCACCTGTGCACACCAATGCCACTTCCTGTCCTGCACAGGCCTATGAGGTGAGCACCTGTGCACACCAATGCTACTTCCTGCCCTGCTACACACTTCCTGCCCTGCCACAGGCCCCCCAAACAAACAAGACCAGTTGATCATGGACTGAAATGTTCACAACTGTGAACTGAAATAAACCTATTTGTTTACGTATTATAGAGCCTTACTATGTGGACACACAAGCGTGAAGTAGGAAGGCTGCTGCCCTGGACACTGAGCACGAAGATTACAGGAATGTATCAGCATGCCTGTCAAAAGCATGTTCATTATAAACTCACTTTCTCCAGAACCTGTCAGAGTGCTTGACAACTGAACAGTCTAGCTATGCAAGAGTTCACAGGATAAAAGGCTGCGGGATGTGGACATGAAGGATACCCAGGCAGAAGGAGGAGTATGCCCGAGATGAGCAAACCCCAAACATGGCACAAGCCACACCATCAGCTGAAGAGATGACGAACAGGGAGACAGGTACCAGGGGGAGGCGGAAAGAGAGGAAGAGCCTGAGTGTGAGCCTCTCACGCTATGACCACAGTAAAGGATGTCCGAGGCTCAAGGACCTTAGGCAGGAGGGGGCAGGCTCAAATCTGAAGTTTTAGGAAGCTACTGCCAATATCACAGTGAATAAATTTTACCAGCCAGGATAAGAGATGATGATACACTCGAAGGAATGGAAGATCTTTAAAGTTATGGAGGCAGAAGAATCTTCATCCTCAGTGACCACTTAGAATTGACAGAGTGTGCATGCGTGCATGCGTGCATGCATGTGTGTGATGTTTAGTAAAGAAAGAACAAAGAACGCCAAGTCCCTGAGGTGAGGATAAGTTTGGAATATTCAAAACAAGAGTCTGGCCACAGCCACAGACAGAAGAGCCGATGGTGTGGATTCAGAGCGCACATGTGGCGTTCTGAAGGCATCCTGGCCACAAGCGTCAAAAGTTTACTTGAACGGGGTCTGGAGCCAAGCCTCAGAGGTAGAGTGGGACTCCAGATGACCTCAGAGGACTGTTATGTGTTAGATAAGTGGAGAGAGTGACAATTGTGGCTTAGAAAATGAGCCCTGGAGGGCGTCTGTTGGTCCCGCTCCCAGAT